AGAGGAATTGTCTGCCTGGAAGGGCCCGAGCCGGCCGGGGCTCCCTCCAGCTCTGGGGGGGCCGGGGCTGAGAGCCGGCCGGGAGCCTAGAGCCGGAGGCCTGGAGTCTCCCGCGCGGGGAGCGGAGCGGGCTCGGTTCTGCCCGACTGTCTCTTCCGGCCTGGAGACGTGTGTTGTGCCACCAGCCGGTCGTGTGCTGGTGGCTGGAGAGGGGCGTGTGCGTGTGTCACGGGGAGGGGACGCGGGAGAGCCCAGGCATCGGGGCCCCCAAGCCCCGCTCCCCGCCCAGGCGTCCCGGCCCTGCCCCCACCCCAGCCCAGCTGGGACCCTGGGGTCGATTTGGCCCCGGGCAGACGTAGCCTTGCTTCCAGGCTGAGGTCACGCGCTGCTCCCAGGCTGTGTGTGTGTACAGAAGTGTGCATGCCTACAACATAGGGCTGTACATGTGTGTGCATTCAGGGCAGGTACACTCCTGGGTGTGCACGTTATAGGGACACGTGTGTATGTGTCCATATGAGATATGGACGTATGTACGCTGTGGGGCAGGTGTACATACAATATAGAGACGTGCATACAAGATAGGGACGTGTGTGCGCGCGCACAATAGGAACGTGTGTGGGTGCATATGTGTGCGTGCAGGTATGTACAATATAAAGACACGCGTGCATATGATATAGGGACGTGTATACATGTGTGTATGCATAGTATAGATCCCCACGTGATCCCGCGTGTGTATGGTTACATGCGATACAGGGGGACACGTGGGTATGTACGATAAAGTGATATGTATGCATGTCTGTGATATAAGGACCAGTGTTCCTATATTGTGCGCACACACACACACCCCCCCATACGGGTCCCTATATCATATCTACCCATACATGTTCCTATATCGTGCGTACACACACACACGTTTGTGCACAGGTAGATGTAAAACGGGCATGTGTGGGTATGTACAGTATAGGGGCACGTGTGTGTACATACGATATCATAGATAATGTGCATGATGCAGGGACACGTGTGCAGGATGTTGCGTGTCAGCGTGTGCACGCACATGTGATACGATGAACCCAGAGTCCTGGGTCCAGTTTTGGGCCCCGCACTTCAAGAAGGAGGGGAGTGGATTGGAGAGAGGCCAGCGCAGAGCAACGCAGGACGGACGGAGGGGGAGAGATCTGCGGGGATTGAGTCTGGGGAAGAGCAGACAAAGGCGGGGATTAGACCCCAGGCTTCAAACCCCCGAGAGAGCATGGGATGGGCTCTGGCAGCAGCAGCCTTAAGCTGCAGCAGGGGAAACAGAGGCAGGAGACAAGGAGGACCCTTCTGGCTCTGAGGGGATCTGGCATTGGACCAGGCTGGCCAGAGAGGGGGGGATCCATCCCTGGAGATCTCCAGGAGCCGGCTGGAGACCCGGGGCCTGGCTGGTTAGAAACGTTGTTCGCCGCGTGAGCCTGAAGTCGGGTAGATGGCAGGGAGTCGGCCCCTGATAAACTCGCCGGAGACTGAGACCTAGACCTAAATCTGGGTATCGGAGAGAGACGCAGGTATAGACAGTATAAAGCTAGATAAATAAAGGTGTAGATAGAGAGATACGGGTATAGACCAGTGTAGAGATACCTAAATATGGATGGATATAAAGAGAGAGAAATAAAAGTAGGTGTAGATAGCGAGATATAGGTATAGACAAATATAATGATAGCTAAAAAGAGATAAATATAGCTAGATACAGGTATACCTGGATATAAAGATAGATAAGTAGCGATAGAGATATATCTATCTATACCTGTACTGATCTAGATAAATAGGAACAGGTATAGATATGTAGATATAGACATAGAAAGATAGCTATATAGAAATAGCTGTATAGAGAAAGATCCAGGTATAGACAGATATAAAGCTAGCTATAGCAAGATAGCTACAGGTAGGTAGGTACAGGTATAGATGGATATACAGATAGATATAGGTATGGATATGAAGAAAAACAGAGATAGGTATAGGCAGATGTGGACAGATACAAGTGTAGACATAAAAATAGAGGTCAGTATATTTTGATACAGGTATTGACATATAGAGAGGTAGCTATAGAGAGGTAGGTATAGGTACAGGGGTTTGAAGATGTAAAGATAGATGGATGTGCATGTAGGTAGATGAAGGTGAGCACAGGTGTGAAGACAAATAGAGATAGAAAACTGTGCGGGTGGGTATGAAGGTGGATAACGAGAGCTGCAGGTAGATGGAGGAACAGACGGGGAGAAGAGTAAATAGAGAGAGATGTAAAAATAGATGTAGATGGATATAAAGATGGAGAAGTATCTCTTTTTGGGGGGGGGGGTGTCTATGCACATTGTGGTGAGTCTCTAAAGGTGCATCTCTGCCCTGGCTTGAGGCTGAGTTGAGACTAACATGGCAACTGCCTGTCTATTCACGTATGTCATAGCGGGGTGCGTGTGGGGTGCCTGGGTTCTGTGCGTGTGTAATACAGGGACACTGATTTCTGCGCATGTACACACAATACGGGGATATGTGTCTGCCTATACACAGGGTGCAGGGCGGGTGTGGGTGTGTCCCAGACACCAGGTTTCTCAGAGAGAAGGAGGATGACCTGGATACTTGGGTTCTGTCTGTGTGTGTGTGTGTGTGTGTGTGTGTGTGTGTGTGTGTGAGAGTGACATCTTGAGGGGGCGGTGTCTCAGACACTAGAGGGTGGGGGGCAGGCAGTGTCCTAGATGGCTGCATATTTTTTGTGTGTGTGTGTAATACAGAGAAACGCGTGCATGGGCAGCCATTGTATGTGTATCTGTACATTATACAGGGGCAGGTGTGCAAGGGCACCCATTGCATGTACCGGCGTCTATACTCTCTATAGGGAGGTGTGGCCCTGCATGAGATCCATGCACACGTGTGTGCTCAGGGACACCCCTAATGTGCAGGCGTACGTGCTATCCGGGGCTGTGTGTGTGTGTGTGTCCATGATGGGACACACATCACGTGTGCGGGGCTGCGTGCGTGTGTTTGTGCCACAGCAACCCGCGTTTGCAGGGACACCCACCATGTGTGTATAGGGCCACCGATCCTGTGTAGGGACACATATGTGTGAGAGGCCCTGTGCCTGTGTGTGTGCAGGCGAGGTGGGGGGCACCTGCTGCGTGTTGTGCGACACGGGGACGCGTGTGTCTGCCTGTACGAGCCTGGGGGGTTGTTCAGCTCCTGGCTCAGTGTGGGCCCTCTGTGTCCGTCCGTCCCCACCCCCCGGGCTGAGCTGCCCGATTCAAGCCAAAAACAATGACGTCAGGGGGAAAGAATCCCAGCCTCGGCCCCCCCGTCCTGGCCGGATCCTGCGGGGGCGGAGGCTTAATGAGCTGTCCCTGCCCCCCCCAGCCCTGTCGCTGCCCCTCACTCC